TTTTTTTTTTTTTTTTTTTTTTTTTTTTTTTTTTTTTTTTTTTTTTTTTTTGAGATAACAGACTTATTTTAATATACAATTCAATAAGTCCTTTTTAATGTCATAGTCATTTTAATATCAGACATTTTTCAGTCATTTTAAATGTCATAGTCATTTTTACTGTCAGTCATTTTTGAAAATCATTTTGCTGTCAGCCATTTTTGTCTCAAAATCACACCATGGAGATACACATCTTTGATGGAGCTAAGCAAGTGCTTCCAATTCGATTAGAAAGCTTTGGCTCCTCGCCTTCACCAAAATCACTGGTTTTGGCTACATCAAACTTTTTTTCTCCATCAATATTCACATGGAATGATCTATGGGAGCACTTCCAATTCTATAACAAAGCTTTGGCTCCAACTCGTCGTCATAATCACTGCCTTTGTCTCCGCCAAATTTTTTGGTTTCATTCATATCCACACAGTTCATTTTAGAAGGAGCTATGCGCGCACTTCCAATTCTATAAACACAATTTTGCTCCTCCTCCCCGCCAAAATCACTATTTTTGGCATAATCAAAGTTTTGTTCTACATCCATATCAAAACTATACAACTCCGAAGGAGCTATACGTGCACTACCAATTCTAACACAAAACTCAAGCTCCTTCTCTCCGCCAAAATCACTATTTTTGGCTCCATCAAAGTTTTTATCTCCATCCATATCAAAGCAACGCAACTCGGAAGGAGCTATGAGTGCACTTCCAATTCTAACACAAATCTCTGGCTCCTCCTCTCCGCCAGTACTATTTTTTCTTGCTCCTTTTTTAGGAACACCATTCAGTTTCCTGTTATGAAACGAAAATTCAGTTATTATTATTATAAAATGAATTCGTCCTACAATTTAAAAAATTTCTGCAGAAACAACAGCAGCAATAGATATTTAAATGGTTTATGGTGTCTATATTCCTTTTTAATATATAGGTCATGATTTTAATGAAAGACAAACCATATTTGCAATTAGTTATAATACAGTAATGATACATATATATTTAAAAATAATGCATCAATGTTTAAAACAATACCGCATTAAAATAAATTTCTTCTAAAATAAGTAAGTTTAAACTGGTTTCAATACCTTTTTTGGAGCAGTAGTGATAATTAATGGCGATGGGAGATGCTTAACTTAATCTTCTAATTTTTTTATTTTACCGAAATAATTTAGCTCCTATATGAAATATTTTAGTTCTTTTATGAAAAATTAAAACTGGACTGGCGTATTGTATGAGCAGCATTAAACAGACTTAAGCTTGAAGTAATATAGATAATTTTTTTTTTATTTTTTAGTTGACTGAATTGAATAAATAAAATAGATGGTACTTACAGTTTTTTACGAATGTATCTGAAAAATCTCGAGAAAAATCTCGCCATAATCAATTAAATTGAATCGCAAAAGAGCAGTTGAATAAAAATCGCCCAACTCACTCAATAGCTTTTTACAAAGTGAATTCTTTTCATTGTTATGCATCTTATATTTCTTTCTTGCATTGTTTAGTTTCTTCAAAACTTTTATTCATTGTTAAGTGTATGACACAACAAACAAAATTTTAATTGTTTAGAGCCTTTTGAAACAAACTGCTCTGTTAAAGTTGGATAGGTATTTTAACAATAAACACACCAACATAATTCTAATNTCATTCTGCTGCTCTGTGGAAACTTTATTAGATTATATGGGAGGATTTGATTACGGTGACACTACTGCGGTTCGTAAAATATGTGTATCGATATATGGCGAAGACGCATTGCACATTTTTTAAAAAAGAAAAATTCCTAGTTTGATGTTATACATGCAAATGTCAGTAATTTTTATATTTTTTGTAATGATATAGAATTTTTCTTTCACAAAAGGAGTTTTCGGATTATCCGTGTTTTTCGATTGTCCGTGCGACCTGTCCCAGTGATTAACCCGGATAATCGGGAGTACACTGTATATATAAATATATATATATATATGTATATATATAATCTATGAAAATCACGTTTTACAGTTTTAGTGTTTATACTCCTCCGGAACGGCTTGACCGATTTTGATGAAATTTTATATGTATATTCAGTAGGTCTGAGAATAGGTCTACAACTATTTTTTTCCCCATTTTTTGGATAATTTTTTTTGCTATTCTTTTATGGTGTAGCATTAAAAAATACATTCACTTTTTAATTTCCCCCCTCCTACCACCAACCCCTACTTTTTAATAGCATTTTATATTTTTAACCCCAGTCGATAGCTGATCAATTAACACTTGATTAAATACCAATTTTTTTCTGTTGAATTACTGTTGTTGTCCTGTTGTTTAGTTTAGGTCGTACAGATATTAGCGACCGTTAGAGCATGTCTTCAGGATGATCCGGAGACATACAATAACAATTTTGATCCTCTGAAAGGGGGATAGCTCCTCTGCTTTAGTAGCCCGATGTCCTGTGGGGAAGTCGAGAACTTTAAGGTAGAACTGTTTAACGAGCACTATACCGCGCACCCTCTGTCCCTTGACAAACTGGCCAAAAATTTCTTCCTCCCTTGCACGCTGACCATATCCTTTAATACGTGACTTCTATGATCCACTGGGAACCATGCTTTATGATCAGTTCACAGTGGGACGTTTAATTACTGAGCAAGACATTATTTAAATGCTATAGTCCTTTTTCGCAGGTTCGAATTATTTGATTTATTGCCCTATTGTCATATTACCCGTACAGGTGTGTTAGTAAATTTTGTTTTGTTTCTAAGTATCCATTAGAAATTTTATACCTTAAACCGAAAATGAAATTAAAGGGGAAAAAATAAAAAACTTTTTCAATCTTTCCTGAAGAATTTTTTTTTCCCATTTTTGAAAAAAAAACCTGTTTCCCAATTTCGGGAAAAAATATTTTTCATTTATGAAAAAAACAAGTCTCCCATTTTTTCTAAAAAAAAACTTTCCTTTTTGGAAAAAAAAATACTTACCACTTTCTAGAGAGAGAAAAAAACCATATTTCTCATTTTTGAAAAAAAAGCATATTTTTCCTTCTTGCAAAAAAAAACATATTTCCCATTTTTTGAAGAAAAGAACATGTCACTCATTTTTTTTAAAAAAAATATATTTCCAATTGAAAAAATAATCAGATTTCCCATTAAAAAAATCATATCTCCAATTTACGGAAAAAATATATTTTCCATTTCCGTTAAGAATTCCGTTTTCAAGAAAAACATATTTCCCATTTTTTTAGAAAAAAGTATTTATTCTACTTTGAAAAGAAAAACACATTTTCCATGTCTTCGGAGAAAACAAACATATTTCCTATCCCAACCCTAACCTCCCAAAAAATATTAATACAAAAATACAAATTTTTCAACTCCATTACTCCCACAATTTTACCAGGAATCATGAACTCAAT